CAAGCATGTTACCATGACCGGAGAACCAAACAAGGGTTTCCCCGGAATCGATCCTACACCACCAGCCCCGCTAGAACCAGATCCAGCGATCAAGGCTACAAAGCAGACAGGGCCAGTGGGGGAATTAATTGAGGAGGAGATGAGCTTGACCTTCAGATCTGGAGCAGAAGGTGGGGAATCCGGGTTGCGACCACAATCAGCCGAATCCTCTCCACCCGTGTAGCCAAGGAAGCCGGCTAGCACATCTGACGAATGCTTCCTCACCGTCCGAGGCCGCCGCCTTGGCGTCCAAGGTCCTCCGCTAGGGAACGAATCGGCAAAATTGTCACCACGACCTTCATCGCCAACCACACAGGCTGGCCCGGCGACCACCTTGGGTGGCGACATGGGACGGAGAGGGGGGAGGGTGTGGCGGCGCTGGGGAAACCCTAGTCGCCCTTGAGTCACCAGATTCAATGGAGTGATAGGAAAAAGCTCGAAGCCGAGCATCCAAAAAGTTGTTTGGGAGGACAATGTGAGGTGTGGCTGCTTTCTTTTATGTAATCTATGTCTTTTTAGATTAGTTGTCTTTCCTTTCTTTATTTGTTTCTTTTCTTCCCTTCTTGGCTTATCTCAACCCTTCTTTATCTTTCTGTTTCTTTCTTTATTTTTTTTTATATTCTTTGCTCACTCCTAGTTGTACTAATAACCTCTATTTGTCTTTTAGTTTATAAAAGTTGGAGTGGGGTTTTTACCCTACTGTTTATAGTCAAAAAAATTCCCAAGGCAATCCACTAGCAAGTAGTGTAGTCTGAACTCAAAAAACCTGTCAACAAAGTTAGTGGCATTCATTTTTATGGTTGATCCATTTTTTTAGAAAGAAAGGTGATCCTATTAGTAATCAACATAGAATGATTAGGTTTGGACATAATATTCTTAGATATCGACCTAGGAAGAAGAAGAAGAAACTAAAAAGAAGCATGAAACCATAATCGAATTGTGGAATTATCTCATCAGCCATCATTCCTAGGGTGAACTACATTGAGGGCATGATTAGGTCCATGGTGGTGGTTAATATGTGGGTGGTATGATGATGCTAGTTTGTGGTACTTATGTTGGGGGTAGATCAAGTGGTATTTATAAAGAACGAAATAAGTATAATTGCAAATACTCTCTCTATTGGTAAAATGGTCAATGTAAAAAATGGTGCCTATTATTGAGACGATTGAGTACTAGTAAAATTGTGAATTCACCAATTTTTACATCAAAAGTGAAGTAATTTACTATAGAGATATGACCTATACATGGCTATATTTATTGGTTATGCAAGCATACACAAGTACTAATTGTTGTTGAGATGATTTATTGGCATCAATCAATTGTTTTATTGAGAGAATATTGTAACACTAATTTCGTTGGAGAGGATTTCGTCATTTAATTGGCATTATGTATGTGATCAGATATATGTTTGTCGGAAACTAATGGATTTGTTGGACTCAATGAATTGGTTTTATTGATAATATACAGTGATATTACTTTTTAGAGGATTTTGACATCTGTTTAGTTGTAATCTATGTGGTGAGATATATATGCCTCCAAAGTTTTATGATAAAAAATACTCAAGAAATGCTTTAATATTGTATGTTAAGAAAGACATGCATGGTTAAGACTATGAATCTTATGACTACAATGAACACAACATAACTTTTTTGAGGTCACAAACATAAATTAGAAAGATAAAAAAGACAACAAACCAAATCCGGATCATAGATTTACCTCATTAGGCATAGCGTATGGGGTTAGTTACCTAGATGAGCCTATTTGATATTAGAAGTGGCAATTTTTATTAGGGGTGGACCTATAAATTTTGTGGAAATGGAGCATTTCTTGTATAATTGTAAAGAATTGAAGGTTTTTAATTAAAAATACAAAGAAATGCTATAGAAATTTCAATGTTTGAGAGGGGTAAGAGCATCAACTCATCACTAGATAGGTCTGCCCTTGGATGGTACGTGGAAAGGGGTTGTAATTTTTACTCAGCACTACAAAAGGAAACTACGATGTTTTTTATACTTTCCTGACTTCAATCATACTTTTAATGGCCATCATCACTTTTTATTTCTAAATAAAGTAGTTTGATCCATAATTTAGAGTAAGAAAGATATAGTTTTGTGTGCCCTTACCATTTATGCCGCCATTTTCAGTAGCACGTGGATTCAAGACATTAGCGATCACATCTATCAGAGACCAAGATTTAAATCACATATAAGAGGATGAAATAAACCAAGGTCGGTGACCACCACCTTGTATAGTGATAACCCACAAGCGTGGGGGATCTATTATAGCCTTTTCGATAAGTATGAGTGTCGAACCGAATGAGGGGATCAACATAGGATTAGTATTCTCTCATGTTCTATCAACCACTCATACAACTCGAAGCACACTAAATGTTTGCTTTACCTAGAAACAAGAAATAAATATACTTCGCAGGGATGAAAATATAGATTTACAAGACAATAAATAACATAAAAATAAGAGTTATTTTCTGGTTTTTAAAAGAACAATGAAGTAAAGGATTGTCCCTAAGCAATTTGATATGAAACTATCATGATAATCATCTATTGTAGGTTTTTATGCGGGAGAGGTCTATGCTAGCATATAGCAAAATCCATTGACTACAAGTACTTATGATTGGAACTATTAGTAAGCATCCGTAAATACTAACATGTCCATTCAGGTAAAACCCAACCATAGTATTAAGATCTAAGGTCCCGTTTTATCCTGTAACACTCCAGACACACCCGCCGGTGGTCGTTACTCCTGGCGGGATCTAGACTGGCCCCATAGATGAATACTAGTCTTTTCTGCGCACTTTGTCCTCACTCGTGCGCACCCGGGTGAAACTTCCCGGTCAATCACCCATCATGAAACTACTCCAAGCTGAGCACGCTTAACTCTGGAGTTCTGTCCGAATGGGCTTCCAGAAAAGAACGAATTCCTTATTGATATGAGTAGTCTATCATCCCTAATAAGCCAGGCCATCACATACACCCCCACTCAGAGGAACCGACATCCTCGTCGGGTCACAGGAACGTTCCCTCTTGGCACATACGTCTGTGCATCCAGTCCGGTACATGTACCATGCCGTGTGCCACGACGGGTCACAAACATCATGAACGACATGACCATGGACCTGTCCACAAACATCCGTATAACCGCGAGGGTCGGCTCTGATACCAACTTGTAACACCCCGGACACACCCGCCTGTGGTTGTTACTCCTGGCGGGATCTAGACTAGCCTCATAGATCAGTACTAGTCTTTTCTGCGCACTTTGTCCTCACTCATGCGCACCCGGGAGAAACTTCCTAGTCGGTCACCCATCATGAAACTACTCCAAGCTGAGCACACTTAACTTTGGAGTTCTGTTCGATTGGGCTTCCAGAAAAGAAGGAATTCCTTATTGATATGAGTAGTCTATCATCCCTAATAAGCCAGGCCATCACACTACTCCAAGCCGAGCACGCTTAACTTTGGAGTTCTGTCCGAATGGGCTCCCGGAAAAGAAGGAATTCCTTATTGATATGAGTAGTCTATCATCCCTAATAAGCCAGGCCATCACATATCCCCTATGCAACAACTCAGAAACTAGGGTTTAGATTTTTGTCACTCTTGCAAACAACCATAAGCAATCACAAATTGCAACACTCTATAGCGGGGATCCCACACAAGTGCACAAATGGTGGGCACCATAGGACATCACCATAATAACATACAACTCAAATCAACCATAGCGTATCACAATTAACCCATACGACAAAAAGAAAATACTCAGACATCAAAGAGATGCACCAAATCATTGGATATTAATATATAGCATCAAACATCATGTTCAAGTAGAGATTACAACATGTTGCGGGAGAGTAGACCACTGCATAGAGAGCCAGGAATATGTTGGTGAAGGAGACAAGTTGATGGAGACAATCACGATGATGATGGTTCCCGGGCCGGCGCTCCGGCGCCAGCGAAAGAGAGGGCGAGAGAAGTCCCCTCCTTCTTCTCCTTCCTTGGCCTCTCCCCTTGACGGGGAGAGGACTCCCACTCTGGTCCTTGGCCTGCAAGGCCCCCGAAGGGAGAGAGCCCCTCTGAGATCGGATATCTCTTCTCTTTGCTTCTTAGTTTTCCACTCTGTTTTGGTACAATATCTGAGACCGGGCATCGTTTCTTAAATATTAGGAGATCTGTATCTACGATCAGGCTGAAATTTTAACAAGATTATTTTCCATAAGTTAGCCTTCTTGCAGCGAATGAATGGTCTCAACCAAATTAGGGAGCTCCCATGCGAGTAGTGTCGTACCCGCACCGTATGGCCGTGTGGTGCCCTCATGGCTCCCTCGGTCTCCTTCTTCTGGCTTAAGGTGTCTTTATTTCTATAAAAAACAAAAAAATGAGCTCATTCCGGCTTCGTGATTTTTTACCTATATTTCCAAAAACACTAGAAAATAGGAACTAGCCTTTGGCACTAGACTAATAGGTTAGTCCAAATAAAATAATATATTTTTTACCAAACATATGTAAAACTGGTATGATAATAGCATGAAAAATAGATATGTTTGAGATGTACCAGTATCCCCAAGCTTAATCCTTGCTCATCCTCAAGTAGGTAGATGTTAAAATGAAGATAATAACCTGGCATAATCTTGATTAATAATGTAAAGCGTTGTGAACTCAAGATAAAAGTGATTCAAAGAAATAGTCTATAGTTAATAACAAGCAAGTAACATCATGATATGCAAAAGATACTCTTGCTTTTCACGGTTCAATGCCTTTATGTCATACCAATCAATACTCATATGTATTAAATTCATGGTTCCAATTAATCAAGGCTTTATAATATCCAAACACCTTATCATAACACAACCCAGAGCGTCGGTCAAGTAACCAAATCCATGACTCTTCATTTTCAACTACTCAGCAGTTCTCTCAGTGCCCATGTCACAAGACTTGATCTTCGCACGTAAATGTGACATATAATGATGATGGAGGTTTTAAGAGAAGTCAAAAACTAAGAAAGGCTCACACCAATGCAGATGACCATTAGGCAATGGTGAAGCCTTACAATCGATACAGGTGTGAGGAGTAGGGCTTGCCACCCAACGGATGCACTATGGCTATAAGTGTATGAAAGCTCTCCAAGTGAACTAGTGCGGTGTGCATCCAAATTGCTTGCTCAGAAAACCTAGAGCATTTTGAGCAAGCTCATGATTGGAATATGCAAGCCAAGTTCTATAATGTAAGGATCCCACTAGTATAATGATGAAACATATGAAAGCTCTCTATATGAAGTACATGGTGATACTTTGAGGCACAAGTGTGTATACAGGATAGTAGTGTGCCCCCTCTCTCTTT